TAATCTATCAACACACTTTTCATTTACTTACTTGTAAAAGTAATTTAACAGCTGAGTGAATCTATTAATGGACCACATGTAGCAGATAGGCCTTTTGTTCAAAATACTCCTTTAGGGCTTAAATGTTTAAACAAGTCGAGAGGCAATTTAGAGAGGTTTAGCCCATAAATGCAGTCACACTTTGTGAACTTTTCGTGTTCTTAGTAGTTGCTTTTTATCTAAAAATAACAACAATATATGTGACTTCTAGTTCTGTTTGAGGAAATGTTGGATGGGTAAGAAATAAGTGAGTTTCCTGTGCACATAGAGACAGGAATAAATGCTATATACTAGAGGTGGATCCATATCTGGTGTAAATTGTCATAGTTTTGTTTAAACTGTTTTAATTAGAGCAGTTCCTGGACAGCCAGTCTAAAATGGCTCACTGTCACATGTATTAAGCCTACTCCCCCACTCCCTGCATTTCAGAATGTCCATAGGGGTGCTTTAACTAAAGTTCATTGGATGAGGTTTAGTTAAAGCGGCCCCACAGCAATTTGAAACACAGGGGCTTAATGCATGCGACTGTGAGGCGATGCTCTTGCGTTCTAATTAGAATGCGAGCAAGCACATCTGTAGGCAGCTATGGAGCTGTGACAGTTTTCAGCAGCTGAGGATCTGGTCCAACACAATATTGTATTGGATCGCGCAGTATCAATTTAAGGGTGCTGTGCAGTTGTGATGGTAAGCATGCCATTTTATATATATATGTTTATTTACTTGTGTATAGGTTAGATATATAAAATAGGCTTTAAAATGTATAGAGAGCTTAAAGACCATTTTAGATCATCTTATCAAATTTAGAGATGTAATTTTCCAGCAATAAATTTAAAATGTTCAAAATACTTCTTCCATTACATATATATAGTTAAAATATAGAGTGGCTTATCCTAGAAAACCTAGTAGGCAATCAGATGTCCAAGTGAAATCGTCAAATGGATGGTTTTAATGCAAGTTGGTATAATACATTTTGCAGTACTTCCTTACATTGCATAAGCCTTATTGTAGCTCATTGATAAGATTTTAAATGTTATTTGTTAGATAGCACTTATTTCTATTGTGCCTCAACATTTCATGGTTGTCAACATGATATTTATATTTTGTGGTAGTGCATGTTTTGGACACAAGTATAAGTACTCAGTAAGTTACCATGGAAATAGTCTGCTATAATGACATTTTCGGATTTCATGAGGATCACTGCATAATCATGTTGTTTAGTAAGATATGGAATTAAATGTGCTCTTGGAAGCAGTGACCATCAGTTTCCAAATAAATGTTTGCGAACACCACCTTCACATTATATAGTATCTTCCAAAGACTGCATCAGAATAAATTATTATATTTTTAGAGGGAGTACAAGCTGTTGACAAAGCCTAAACATTTATTGAGACAAAGGCATTTTTACACATGCAAGCACCACAGCACTGGGGCTTTGAAAAGCACCTAGTGCTGTGATGCTTGCAGTTGTATAAGCAGCGAAATGCGTGTCAGCGCTGAGAAAATAGTGGCAGTGAGCTTTTGAACTAAAACAACTTGTAGATGCTTTAGTTCAAAAGTGCACCACTTCCATTTTATGTGTGCTGACGCGCATTTCACCGCTTATACAACTGCACGTGGTGCAGCACAGCACGCATCAGCTCACATGCAGAGCAGACTAGATTAATCGATAAATTAATTGAGTCTGCTCTGAAGCAGCAGTTCTCCGGCACATCACTGAATGAAAAAATATGTGTATAAATGTCCATTGTATGCCTTTTCCACACCTTTTAATGATCATAATTAAATATAAAAAACAACAAAGTTTTAATATGAAGGCAAGTGGTTTTGAATATGCATCTTCAGATTGGGAGCCTTTCTTTTTTGGGGTTTTAATTTGTTTTAAATTCAGTTTTAATAGCTATGATGAAAAAGAGGATGATTTTTACGTTAAATAAATATACCGCTTGTGTTGCAATGTGCTACAAATATTCCAGGGCAGGTATTGGTACTTAATATGAAAAATGATGATGACCAATAGAAAGAAAAGGTAATGATGGACATAACAGTTGTAGGGATATCAGTATCCTGTGTTATCAGCTGTTATGATACAACCATCACATCTGCATGATTCTGTAGTGATACAAGTGAAGCAGAAGCACTCCAGCTTTAACCCTGCTTCATTCAGGATTAAAGTTCGGAAGACTGTGATCTCTTGTATGGCTACAGAACCACGTAGATATAACAGTTACGGTGTAAAAGCTCAGGTACGCTTTTGCATAGCAACAGTTACCTCTCTACTTTTACAGCAGCTAAAATATATATTTTTCTGTCCTCTCAGAATACAGGACTGTTAGAAAGGAATCGGCATATGGGTTTTAACCTTCTGGCCATCTTTAGAACTGTGTCATACCCTCAAAACATTTAGGAAGTGCTTGGGAATGGTGGAATTGCTGGTAAATTAAGCATAAGTGGCATTATTTTCACCCACCCCCAGCCTCCAGAAGCTTTAGTGAAGACCAGCCATGCACAAATGCTGAGGTAATTAGTCTCATGGAGCTTCTTGGCTCTTCTTTATTTTTTTTATCCATATAAGGGATGATTTGCCTTTAGCCATTACACTAGGAAATCGCCAACTGAAGTCAGCATTCATGAAGAGGCTGCCAAAATACTGTATGCTATATATAAACCTGGAATACTGTATTTAGCTTGCATCCACTTTCATATTCTCACCTGATAAAGCTGCCCTGTCTTTTTGTTAGAAGCGTACTAGTATATTTGATAGAACTTAGAGAAATGCAGTACAAAGGAAACCCTCACTGTTGGAAACATATCAAGGAAAATACATTAATTTTGCTTTCAGACTGTGAAAAGCAAAAAGACTCCCTTGCTCACTTTTACGCAAGAGATGAGCTCTCTTAATTTGTATAGTGGATGTGTGTGTTCCTAGAGCCTTTATGAACTTTAGGGGTATTGGAATTGGAGGCAAACTAGTTTGATTTTGTTCCGTGGTCTGAAGTTTTACAAAAAAGGTCTAAGGCTAACGTGGCAAGTATGGAAAAGGATAGACTGTTACGTTATACCGAGGCATGAAATGTTAAGGCAGTTTAATAGCCAAACAACCTCTCTACTGGATTTTAAGTGGGCAGGAATATTAGCTCAGCAAATGACCCAGCAATGCTTTCTTAAGACACTAGCAGAAAGGGAAGAATGTAAGAAGTGGGTGATGGGGCAGGAATTGACCCCTTGATAAGATTATTAAATAAAGCATAATAAAACTTAGTGATACTTTCAAGGCTGGGGAGCTGAAGCTTTAAGACTTAGGCAACAACTTTTTAGATCAGTGAGCAGCATTCTAATATTATAAAAGCCTTAATCTGTCTGTCTGCCTGTCCATAATGCTTTATCCACCCTTTGATTGGCTGACAAACAGCCAATCAGAGTGCGAACAAGTGTTCAGACAGGTGGCAGCTCACCACCATGATGGTGGGGACACAGGGGATGGAGCGGGGGGTGGGTTGAGGCCAGCTGGAGGCGGCAACAGAGTGGACAGAATGGGCTGCTGTCCTGACCCCCTGCCACCCTGCAGGTGGTGACGATGGAGTGGGGGGGAGGGGGGCAAGGCCACCAGAGCTGTCCTCACCCCCCCTTGCCCCTTGGAGGTGACGACGGTGGTGGCGCAGGGGATGGGGGAGCAGGCTTGGGGCACCGGGGGGGGCAAGGCCACTGGCGCTGGCCTTGGCCCACCCTTCTCCCCTTCTGTCATTGCTGCCTGCAGGGCTGATGTGGCAGTGGTGGGGGGAGGAGCAGGCCCAATGCAGGGCGGGGGAAGGAGCAGGCGCACCATGGTGGCAGTGATGGGAGGGGAGGAGTGGGCTGGGGCCCAATGCGGGGTGGGGAAACGGGCCCAAGTGGGGGCGTGGAGAAGCCAGCCCACCACAGCGGTGGGGGGAGGGAGCACTCCCCTGCATCGGGCCTTAGCCCATTCCTCCTGTCCTCCCACCACTGCTGGGTTGGCCCGGGCCCGCTGCTCTCCCCCCTGCCGCGGTGACCTGGCTTCTCCCCACCTTCGGTCCCAGTCTTCCCCCACATTGGGCCCACACCCCCTCCTCTTTTCTCCCTGCCACTGTGGCAGGGAGGAGGGGAGCAGGCCTGGACCCCACGCAGCAGGAGGAAAGGGGGAAGGGGCCTGGATGGTAGGGGGGCACGGGTCTCCATCCCTGCCCCCCCCCCCCATCATTCTTGATGGGCAGTTCACTAGTGTATACATAAAACCCACATTCCCCTCTTCTGATCTTGAGAACCAAATTTCCCAAAACACTTTACTTGAGCCCCTGGTAAGGTTGCTCCACTGATACTGGCTACAAGAGTGCTGATCTGGGACTGTTACATGTGTGAAGTGAATGTATTTGCTAATGACTGGTCAGAGACCAGCATCTTATTTCATATACCCTCCCAGTTTAGGAGAATGGTATAAGATTGCTATCAACCTACAGTACAAGTACCACTGCAAAAGAAAAGTTCCAAAGCCTGATAATAGTCCCCTGTCTTCTTTATAGCCTTGCCATACTCCTTAACAAAGTGCTTTGGACCTGAGTTACCAGATTGATCGAGCATGATTGCAAATCTTGGAAGCTCAGAAAAGATGCATCAAGGAAGTTATGTGATTTCTTTCTCTTCTCTTTTTTAAAAAAATGTATGGTATTATCAAAAGGGCTTAATACCAAAAATAAATCTCAGTCTTTTCTGATTTACAGGTAAGTCAAATGGTAAGGGTATTCTTGTGAAATAAAGAACTCACCTCACTGGGGACAGCATACTGTAAATTATTTCAGGCTTAGATTTTCTAAATAAGTAATACAATTCTTGGCCTTTTAATTTTCTTTCTGCTCCCATTACTGCCTTACAAGCCATCAGGAATAGATGGCCTCCAACTCCTCTCTCTAACTTCCTGTGCCTTGGGATTCTTTTGTCTTCCTCTACAGAGACCCTACTTGATGACTTCCTTCTCACATACACGGTTTTCATGACAACTGACGACCTGTGCCAGGCATTGCTGAGACAATATCCTTCATTAATATTTACAGTTATGTATGGTTGTTGTCTTCTTTCAACAGGAGGTACAAGCTCTCCTATAGCTCCAAGAAGCATAGGACGGGTACATCATTCCAAGGGAACAGCCTAATTTTCTTGCCTGCAGGTACTCAGCTCTGTGGATTGATTTGGACAGGGAAGGGTTCTGATTATTGCATTTTCTCTGCTGTCTTTGGTAGGAATTCACAGCTTTGCTACAACATCACATGTTCCTGGTCCTTGTGCAAGTTGTGTGCGTTGTGAGGGGTGGCTTATTCTACCTGTCTTCAGTCTCTCACCTATAATATGTATTTGCTCAAGAACAGGAGTCTGCCTGGTTCTTGTTTTATGTTGAAAATGTTTATTTAAATATAGATCCATTTAAGATGGCAGCTAAAAGCAAGACTGGGATAGGGACTTTTTATATCTATGGTTTATGTTAGTGGTTATGGGAATATGTACTAGTTTCAAAGGGCTGCTTAGTAGAGAATACATCCAGTTTTCATAGATGTCAAAAGTAGGGAACACATTTAGTTTTGTCCCCTCCAAAGCTTAGCTGCATGCCACTACTAAGAAAAGATAGAAGGAAACATCATCTTAACAGCACATGTATTTAGACAGGAGAAAAGGTGAAATAATTTTACGAAGCCAAATAATCAAAAACAAAGGAAGCTTAGATAGAATTTAAAAATACCTCTTCCCCCCACCACACAGTATTATCTCTGGGACTGTGTTGCAGGAATATTTGCCTGAGATGAATCTTTGGTTGTGACATTCATTTTCTTGGAATTCAGGAAATAGCACAATAAATAGCAGTGCATATTTCCTACTATATCATGTCATTTAATGTGCTACAGTGGGAAAATTGGAACTGAAATTTCCCAAAGTTCAAGCATGTCTAGATGTGTATTGTAGTCCAGGGCCATTACAGAGAAAGAGAGAGATTCAATCTGGAAATTTCAACTCCAGATTTAGATCCAAGTTTCCCCCAAATTGTAGAGATTTCAGATGAGGTGTTCCGTTTCATTCACCCCCCTTGCTCTGGTATTTGTAAAGGACATGCCCTAACACAACCCTGTAAATATATTAAAGAATATTAGGATTGCATAGCTATGCATTAATAAGTCAAGATTTTCAGCTCTAAGGTTGAATATACCACAAGAGCTCTAACTATACATGTTATGATTAAAGATGTTTAATGTGATTACATATGCGAGGTTGCAAATGAAAAAAAAATGTCCAGTGTAGAATTCTTGTAATAGCATATGATCACATAATTGAGGACAATATTGTTATACAAAAATGTAATAGGGCAGCAAGAAAATATTGTATTTCTTTTTTACTACTTATCAGTGCAAACACCAAATCAACAGTTTTTCTTATCACATCTACAGACGCACACTTACACATGTGACATACCTGTATACCATTATACTTGCACGTTAATTCAGTTTTCATCCCTTTCTTATGTTTCATATTTGAATTAAAGTTATTAAAATTGTATAGAAAGTATGTCTCATCATAATTGCTTAAATCACCCTTTCTTCCTTCTGCAAATATGAATGTCTTCTATATATCAGAACAACAGAGAATTTAAAGAGGAGCTAGATGAAAAGGGTAGTTAATATTCCGACCTTCTCAAAAATGGATTATACAGTTTTTAAAAGAATGGTTAAAGATGTATACCACAGGATACCAAACTCACAGAAATAGTAGGATAGCTCAAATGAAGACTCTTTTTGTTTAAGGTTTATCTCTCTGGTTTGCTGACATTTACAAAATGCCATTAAAAAATTCAAATCAAAACCTACCCACTCTGCATCTTTTTGTTATCAGCAGCTCCTAAAAATATTCACATCTGTATAATTAATAGATTTAAACATGTGATAAGGGGAAAATGTATGCTGTGCATCTTACAATGGCCATTCTGTTAATCATTTGATACAATATAGAAGCTGTTCCCATTTACATGTAAAAACCATGTTTTTCATGTTTTTTCACTTATCTCCACATGTTAAGGATTGTGTTTGAATGAACTCATAACTATAAAATTAAACTCAATCTCTTCTTATAAGATTCTGTACAAAGTATGCAAATAAGTGATTCTTATATTTGAGGGAAGAGCAAATAGGTAAGAGGCAGAGATAAGTGCATTGTGTAAAGTAGGGATTTTTTTCCCATTGCTATTACTACTGTAGCTATTTGAATATAAGATGACCCTGATTATAAAACCATCCCCCAATAATTAGATTCTATATCTGGAAAATGTATACATTTGTTATAATTTCTGGATATAGAATCTAATTATTGGAGGGTTGCCTTGATTTGTCTCCCTCCCACTGCTACAGCAGGGAAAATAAACCTGGGGTAGTCAGGTAGCCCTTTCATTCTCTGCTTCTCAATTTCTTCCCCCAATAGCCTCTCCCCATCCCCCCGCCCCCCTTTACTGTCAGACTCCTGCTCTCCCTAAGCACATGACATGGAAGTGAGGGGCAAATTCAAAAACACTGACTTGGAAATAAGCATGCTTGTAACAATTCAGTTAATTCAGAATTGATGCATGTTATTCTTTTTTAAACAATTTTCAAAAAGAATACCTGTCTACAGGTTTTCTACCTGTACAGTTTTTACACAGGTATTCCATAAACATACTTTTAAGCGGCACTTTTATACCTACTTATATGTAGTACAAACTATGTGTGAGATTAGTCCAAAGCCAAAAGGTTCACAATCTAGCATATAGTTCATTGGGCTGGGCCCCAGCAGAGTCGAAAGTGTTTCAAGCCGTGGTGACCCCATAGCTCTGCACTGCCCAGTATGTGTTTACTCCCCACAAAGGATCCACACACTAATTAGCCACTCACTGGAACTGGTTGTTTTTGTCATAAGTCCTGGGATCTTCCAAAAAATGTACATGTAGATGAGGCATAGAGCAACCTGGTATGGCTTCACCTCATGGAGGGTGGGGCCACACTAATCACATGTAACTGGCTGAGAGAGGGAATGACAGAGAAATCCTGGGTGAACTGTTTGGGGCCCTGTTTGGTGCTGTTTGAATCACAGAACCATAAAAAATTACAGTTGGAAGGGACCTCAGGAGGTCATCTAATCCAACCCCCTGCTCAAAGTAGGACCATCCCCAACTACATCATCCCAGCCAGGGCTTTGTGAAACCGAGTCTTAAAAACCTCCAAGGATGGAGATTCTACCACCTTTCTAGGTAACCTGTTTTAGTGCTTCACCACCCTCCTAGGGAAGAAGTTTTTCCTAATATCCAACCTAAACCTCCCTTTTGGCAACTTGAGCCCATTGCTCCTTGTTCTGTCATCTGTCACCACTGAGAACAGTCTAGCTCAGTCCTCTTTGGAACCACCCTTTAGGTAGTTAAAGACTGCTATCAAATCCCCTCTGTCTTCTCTTCTCCAAACTAAACAAGCGCAGTTCCCTCAGCCTCTCCTCACAAGTCATGTGCCCCAACCCCCTAACCATTTTCATTCCCCTCTGCTGGACTCGCTCCAAATTGTCCACATCCTTTCTATAGTGGTGGGCCCAAAACTGAACACAGGACTCCAGATGTGGCCTCACCAGTGCAGAACAGAGGAGAATAATTACTTTCATTGATCTGTTGGCAATGCTCCTACTAATGCAGCCCAGTATGTTGTTAGCCTTCTTGGCAACAAGGGCATACTGTTGACTCATATCCAGCTTATTATCCACTGTAACTCCCCAATCCTTTTCTGCAGAGCTCCTACTTAGCCGGTTGGTCCCAAGCCTGTAGTGGTGCATGAGATTATTGTTTCCTAAGTGCAGGAGCTTGCACTTGTCCTTGTTGAAACTTGTGAGATTTCTTTTGGCCCAATCCTCCATTTGTCTAGGTCACTCCAGTGTATCTACTACTCCCCCCAGCTTGGTGTCATCTGTGAACTTGCTGCGGGTGCAATCCATCCCATCTTCCAGATCATTAATGAAAATATTGAACAAAACCAGCCCCTGGACCAACTCCTGGGACACTCCACTTGATACCAGCTGTCAATTAGAGCTTGAGCCATTGATCGCTACCCATTAAGCCTAATGATCCAGCCAGCCTTTTATCCACCTTATAGTGTATTCATCCAACTTATACTTCCTTAGCTTGCTTGCAAGAATGCTGTGGGATACCGTATCAAAAGCCTTGCTGAAGTCAAGGTATGTCATGTCCACTGCTTTCCTCACCTCTACAAAGACTTTCATAGTTTCATAGTTGGTAGGGTCGGAAGGGACCTGAGGAGATCATCTAGTCCGACCTCCTGCCATGGCAGGAAAGAGTACTGGGGGCAAACGATCCCAGCCAGATGTTCGTCCAACCTCCTTTTAAAGACCCCCAGGGTAGGAGCCAGCACCACTTCTTTTGGAAGTTGGTTCCAGGTCCTAGCCGCCCTGACAGTGAAATAGCACTTCCTAATGTCTAGCCTGAAACTACCCTCCGCTAGCTTGTGTCCATTGTTTCTTGTAACTCCCGGGATTGCTCGGGGGAACAGGGACTCTCCCAATGCCTGCTGGTCCCCCTTGACTAGTTTGTAGACTGCCACTAGATCCCCTCTCAGCCTTCTCTTTTGGAGACTGAACAGGTTCAGGTCCCTCAGCCTCTCCTCGTAGGGCCTGCCCTGCTGACCCCTGATCATGAGGGTGGCCCTCCTTTGGACCCTCTCCATATTGGCCACATCTTTAATCTGAAGTGCGGTGCCCAGAACTGGACGCAGTACTCCAGCTGCAGCCTGACCAGTGTCGCATAGAGGGGAGGATCACCTCCTTGGACCTGCTTGAGATGCATCT